TGAGCCTGGGGCAGGACATGGGCTGTGCTGGAGGGTTTGTGAATGCAGTTCTCAGTCGTCGCTGGGAGAGTGGGAAATCAGCATCTGCTCATTCTCTGTGGTCTTCCTCACAACCTCTGAGCAGCCACAGCACCTCATTCTGTCTTTTCCCATGATTAAGCTGTTGTACAATATGAAATGACCTTCTTTCTTTCTCAGAATAGATCCCATTACCTCATAACCATTACACCTCATTTCCCTGCTCTTATTACAGGCAGAAAAGAAATGAAAGCAGCAAAGTAATATTTTAGTTATTCCTCTTTTTCTCAGCTGCTTTGGCTCCTTGGATTCTCTCTCAGCCCAGGAGAGAGCCCTGTACCTCTTGCTGAATTCAGGGCTGCTGCCTGCTTCTTGGAATCATGGTGAAGGAGACAACAAAGCACCTTCCTCACTAGGAGAGGGACATAGTAAGTGCTGCAACACTAGACCTGAGCTGTTAGCAATGGACAGTGAAACTTACTCTTGAGTATGACTACAGAATATCCCCCATGAGCTGCTGGCACCAAGATGTGGCTTTACGTGTGCTGAGAACGTGTCTAGCGAGGAGAGCAGTTGTTGAGGAAATGAAAAGCATCACCCTAGTTTGGGAAACTAAACTGTTAAAAAATGTGTAATAAACGACATGAGGATGTCAGTACTAACTGCAAAGGTGGTGAGAGTTCTGGTGCCTTCCACACCCCTCTGAGGCTTCAGCAGATGATCATCTCCCTTTGGAGTCAGGTCTCACAAGCATGCATACCAATGTTCAGCCAAAAATCCATGTCTCTTTTTGACATGGATTTTTTTGACTCCTTCAGCTTTGGCTTCTAATTAGTGGCTCCCTGGTCAGGTTTTTATTGTGAGATTCAAGTGCTCTCTTCTGCTGAAAATCATGTCTCTTTATACAGGTTTTCCACACACTGTCCATCTCTCCCTGCCAATCTGCTCTTGAAAGTACAGAGCTGAACCCCTTTGCTGTCTGGCAGTTATTGCAGCTTTTCCCAGGGCCCCTCTGAAGCTGAACACAAATTTGCAAGGTGGGTTCTGAGACTGCCTGCAGCTCTGTGGTGCTGGATATGAGCTCTCATGGGAACCTATGGGAGCCTGTGGACTTTCCCTGCTGGAAGCTCATGTCCAGCTGGGGAGCCTCTCAGTTTCAGAACTGTTTTCTTTCTAATATGTGATTTTCTACCTGCACTCTTTGTTTTTAGGCTTGTTTTCTTCTGTTTCAATTCTCTGTCCTCATGGTTTTGAATCATGTTTTTTGAATGTGAATGATTCTCAGCTTCCTCAGTCGTTCTTGGGTGTAATTTGTGCAGCCCTGTGGGCTTTCAAGAGTTGCTTTTTAGCATTTCCACTAGTCATTAGTGTAAAAGGAAATACTTGGTTATCATTTTCAGACTCTGTCCAAAACATGATGGGAGTCTCTCCTACACAGAGGTTCACACCTAATTTGACTTTATTTTCTGTCAAGTATGAGATCTGGATCATTGTTCAAGTCCTGCTTTCTCTGGTGTACGTCAGGCACATCATCCTTTTGTCCCTAAATCTGCTGATACAAACTTTTAGCTGTTGGCTGATCCTCTGCTGTCAACACAAACTTTAGCATAATAGTGTGTCTGTCTTGTTAGTAACAGTTAGCACATCCCCTCTGGGGGATCAAGTGAGGATGGAGAGTTCTTCTGAGCAAGTCCTCTTTTTCTATCTGTAGCATTTTTTGTTGGTTTTTTTGGCAGAGATGAACAATTCTCTGACAAAGGCTATGGAAGGTGTTTCCATTTGAAAATATTATTTCCTGCTCAAATCATGTAAAACAGCGGGAAACAGAGTAAGCATCTTGCAGACTGGTAAAAGAGGAGGATAGGGAGGCAGATAAAATCTGACACCCCTTTTGTCCTTCTTATGACCTCCTTTCTTGCCCAGTTGTCCTTGCCCCATATTTTAGGAGGGCTCAGCCTTGTCTCAATTCTGTCTCTAGGCCTTCCAAGCAAAATAGGTTCATGTGATTTAAGTGTTCACCTACAGCAAATAGTCCCACTATTATTTCAATAGCCTTGTTAATGTTGTGTGTCACTTGAGTCCTAGGAAGGCAGCAGAACAGAGGTCACTTTCAACCTCAACCATTCAGTAACTCTGATCATGATGTGATAATCAGACACAGCTCTGCCTGCTACTGTCTTCCAGCATCTGTCATCTTGGTGGTATCTGAAGGCGGCGACAGGGGAAAACAGAATGTGACAGAAGGACCAGCACAGTAGAATGTGTGAAGAAGGGAGAGGTCCCTGAAAGCATGGTGTGCACCAAATGTGATCCTTTGATGGTAAAACAGCCCCAGTCTTTGGTTTGTCACAACGTGTGGTATTAGTAGGCTCTTGATCTGACCATCCACAAGACAAGATGCAGCTGAAATGGCTTTTGCTGGTTTCGTTGTCTCTCCCTCCTACCCATTAAAAAAGCATCTTTGTGAAAATAGGAAGCAGTGGGTGAGAAGTAAGAACACTTCTGACATTTAAGGGAGACTGCTACTGTGCCTGCAATCCCACCATGATAAGCTGTCAGCATGAAACACATTGTCAGGAAAAACCTGGGACTGGACAAGCCTTTGTGTGACCCTCTCTTGTCATGGGAGTGGATGGAGACTCATCCTCTCACTGGCTGGGGAGAGCTGCTCTGGGATGCAGAGAGGACTGAGCGAGGGCAGGTGTGACCCAGCGTGAGCTGTTGCAGTTGGATTTATGTTGCTTTCATGTCTTTTATGTCAGAAACCTAGAAGTGTGAGGAAGAGCCAGATGGGGTTGAAACGGCTGTGGTGAACATCTTCAAACAGCAGTGTGGTGTCTGGTCGGGCAGGCAAGGCTTTGACAGCATTTGTTGGTGTGGTTGGAGGCAAAGCTGAGTCCTTGCTTTGGAGAAGCAAGTGCATAAGTGTTGTTAAAGCATGCTGGTCTCAGACCCCAGTTTTGGTGTTCTAGATCAAAGCCTGTGTATTGGGACCACTTCCTTCAGCCACAGAGGAGACAAATCTCCAGTTTGCTCCTGTATTAAGCACTTCTCATTATGCTTACAGATATACTTGTTCATGCTTTTAAAATCCTCTTTGTGCATACTCTGTGTGTACATTTTTAACAGTTCCCCATACAAATATACACTTCAGCATAGGTCTGTAGCTACAAGGACAAATGGTTTATAATCACTTGTGCACATCTGTAAACCTGTGGGGAAATCTCATTGTCACCACTTAGACATCTGGGGTCAATGAGGGATGGAAATGTCCCCTCTTTCCTCACTAGGATTTTGTAATGAGCTTTTCTAAGTGCTGGTCCTTGCAGCATGGTCTGGATTCTGGATTTTTTACTGGAAAGCAAGATAAATTCTGCTAAACTAACTAGAATTTTGTAATGAGCTCTTCTAAGTGCTGGTCCTTGCAGCATGGCCTGGATTCTGGGTTTTTTTATTGGAAAGCAAGATAAATTCTGCTAAACTAACTGGCACAGTGTCTACCTCAGGCTTTAATCACAAGCTACTCAGTCAAGTTAGCTCCTGCTGCAGTGCTCAGCATTGACCTGGAGAGATAATTTAAAAAGTCCTTCCCTCTCTAAAGCTTCTTCAGAGATAGTATTTGCAAAGGTAAGAGGAGCAGCAGCACTACTACTGCTGGCTCAGCCTGACTGGTGTCTTGGTGAACTGATGAGGGTCAAGGCAGCACTCTGAGCTGGCGTTGTTAATGCTGGGACAGCTCTGCTCAGTCTGCAGCTCTCACAATGTCTTCTTCTTCTCACTTAGCTTTTTATCACAGTGGGACAGTGTCTATAACCAGTGTTCTGGGACTCAGGATCCACAATCTGCGGAGCAGACTGCACAACAAAAGATGGGCTGCACAACAGACAGTGGCCATGAATTTGTCCTGTGTGAAATGAAGTGATTCCCCAGCACCCACAGCTGCACTTGGGGTTGGCTCTTAATCCTTCTGCTGAGGGTAGAAGTCCTCAGCTCTGGCTCTCCAATCTGGAGCAGCATGCAAGAGGTTTTGTCATTCCTTTTGCTCTGCTTATGTTCCAGGACACCACAGTGGACAAGCAGCCCGAGTGTGCTGTTGGAAGGGGTGACTGGTGGTGGGCACGTGCTGGGCTGATTACTCAGCCCCTGACTGGCAGCATTCAGACATAGTATTTGCAAAGGTAAGAGGAGCAGCAGCACTACTACTGCTGGCTCAGCCTGACTGGTGTCTTGGTGAACTGATGAGGGTCAAGGCAGCACTCTGAGCTGGGGGTGTTAATGCTGGGACAGCTCTGCTCAGTCTGGTGAACTGATGTGGGTCAAGGCAGCACTCTGAGCTGGCGTTGTTAATGCTGGGACAGCTCTGCTCAGTCTGCAGCTCTCACAATGTCTTCTTCTTCTCACTTAGCTTTTTATCACAGTGGGACAGTGTCTATAACCAGTGTTCTGGGACTCAGGATCCACAATCTGCGGAGCAGACTGCACAACAAAAGATGGGCTGCACAACAGACAGTGGCCATGAATTTGTCCTGTGTGAAATGAAGTGATTCCCCAGCACCCACAGCTGCACTTGGGGTTGGCTCTTAATCCTTCTGCTGAGGGTAGAAGTCCTCAGCTCTGGCTCTCCAATCTGGAGCAGCATGCAAGAGGTTTTGTCATTCCTTTTGCTCTGCTTGTGTTCCAGGACACCACAGTGGACAAGCAGCCTGAGTGTGCTGTTGGAAGGGGTGACTGGTGGTGGGCACGTGCTGGGCTGATTACTCAGCCCCTGACTGGCAGCACAGCCCCACAAGCCCCTGAGTGTGGAGCTCACTCTCTCCCCGAGCAGGAAGGTCCCGCTGAGTGTGCATTCTGCCTTGGTGTGGGAGGAGCAGGTGGGTGCCCTGAGCCTGCAGCCCAGGGCGGAAGCTCTTTGGGGTTTGCTGTTGATGCTTGAGGCTTTCAGATAGTCTCAGCATCTGAGCTGGGTGTTCACTGCTGCAGGGATGCAGGCGTATAAAGGCAGAGCTGGGTCTTCCCCCAGGGCTCAGTCTGGGACAAACCCTGCATTTTTTGGCTGCCATATGGAAGACCACACCAAGCATGTCCAGCCTGTCCCGCTCCCAGCCATGCAACAGAACTTGAACTACATGTATCCCCAGATCTTTTGGGTAGATGGCTGCGCTGATGCAAGTACTTCCTTCACCCCGGCACCCCCTGTTGCTCCTTTTCCACCACCAGTTCCTGACCGGAGGAAAAAGCCAAGGAACAACAGGGAAAGGAGGGGTGCTGGCTTCCTGGTGTTCTCCCTGCTGATCCTGCTGGCCCTCGCTGGCGTGGGGCTGTGTATGTTCCAGATTTTCCACCTGGAGAAGGAGCTGGCTGAACTCAGAGAGGTGAGGTCTGCATGGCTGGGCACTGGGGAAACAGTGGAAAAAGGAAACCTTGAAATTGTCTGAGATGCTCAGGTGGTGCAAAGCCCCCCAGGGGGCAGGTGGGTGGCATTTCAGTGTCTGTGTAAGTGGGGTTGCTTATTACTGGGGGGAACTGCTTGGTTGGTGACTGATGAGTCTGGACGTCTTCATGTTGCTGAATGCTCTGAGGTCTCTCCCTGTATATTTCTTAGCACTTTGCAGCACCCGGAATTACCCATTGTCAAAGACAGTCCTTGGCTGCTTGTACTCTCACTCTGACAGCTTGTCATTCTTTTCTTTGACAGTCTACCAGTACTGAACACATCCCTCCAGCTTTGGAGAAACTCATAGGTGAGTTGATGTACTTGGAGGAGGAACTCCTCTGTGTTAGCAGGTATTGAGTGCTCCCATCGAGCTCTTCTCCCTCCTCATCAGGGGCAGAGGCAGAGCTGCAGCTCAATGCTGTTGTGTGCTGATTTCACTTGTTTGGCTAAACAAAGAGCTTTATCTCAGGGCTGTGGGGTCGGGATCCTGTGCCCTGGATGCCAGACTGCTTAGAGGTGTCAGCCACAGGTTCTGGGATAGTGTGGCAGACCTTAGGGCCTCCCATACCCAGTGGGGCAATGGTTCTGGGGGTACTCTGCTGTGAAAGGGAGATTCTGGCTGTCCCAACACAGAGCAACAACATGAATGGAAGGACGAGAAGGGAGACAAGCACTGCACATGATACTTCTTTCTTTCCTTTCTCTTTGAAGATTTTGGGGGGATGCAGAGAGGTCTGTTTTGTTCGGGGTGGAGGATTCACTCCCACCCTTGAGAGCACAACTTAGATTTTCCTAAATTCTTTTGGTACTGCAGCCAAAGCTTGTTGAGAAAAGTCTGATTATATATGGGGGTTTTTTTCTCTTAGAACTGTAATTTCAGTGAAATTGAAACTTCCCACAAGAACCTGCCAATTTTTCTAGATTTCATTTAGGAAAACAACAAAGTTTCAATTTGAGTGGAACAATTTCAAAATCATATTTTGAACTTCCAAACTGTTATTTTCCTTTCACATTCCATGTGAGGATATCCCTTTTTCAAGATGACCAAGTTGGAAAGAAATTTTCAGCTCCCTTGACAATTTTTGCTAGATCTGAAAAGAAATTTTTTGTCTCCCCTTAAGCACTTTGGTTAGTAGGAAAGTTACATTGTTTTGACATTTGTTCTGATACTGAATGAAAACAAATTTGGAAATAGCAAAATCCTCTGGAAAGAGCAGTCCTAACTCCCATCAACTTCCATAGCAGTAAATTTCTCCCTTTAGGGAAAGGGGAGCTGTCATTTTAACTGGATGTTCAGTGGTCTGATCACAGTCTCCTTTAGCAAAGCTGAACATAAATAGTAACCCTGATTTTATTGAGGGGAATGGATAAATAAATAAACCCAGGGAAATAGTGTAAAGGAAAATTTAATTGGCTTGAGAAAAGTAGAGGCTATTTCTAAAATTAGAGGACACAAAGTAGATGTTGAGAAGAAGGGAAAGATGGAGTGGGATGGGATCCAAATACCAAGTCACTGTCACTGGACAGCTCTCCATGGAGAACTAACTGAGCCCTCCAGGAAAAGCAGAGTTTTCCCAGCTGTGCTCTTTCTCCCTGAGGAAAGGTCTGCCTGGCCAGTGGGATGGTTTGCAAGATCTCAAGTTTTCAGCTTTGTGGCTGGCTCCCTCCTGCTCTCCGGGCTCTCATGGAGTGCATGGCTAACACCTTCTCTGTTCTTGTGCAGGAGAGAAGGAACAGTTGATGAAGAAGGAAGCAAGAAAGGCAGCACACTTAACAGGTACATGCTGAGGGACCAGCAGGATGCAGGAGCAGGGGCTAGGGCAGATGTGGCTGTGGTGAGAGGGTGGCATGGTCGTGGTTGTGAGGAGTCCACCTCACACAGGCTTTCCTACTTTCCTTGGGTAATATGTGTGCTCTGACAGTGGGAAGTTATTCCACAGCTAAAATCTCCCCTCCTTTAAGCTTCTCGGGGAGGCTCTGTTTTTTGGCTTGGTTTTCAGTTTGCCTCGGGGGTGTGTGAGGCAGAAGCTGTCACAAGGAGTTGGCGTTGGTGAGGTGTGAGGTCGGGACGGACTTTCCATGCTGCAGACAAGGGCTTGGAGAACGGCTGACTTGCTGTGACATGACTTGAGGAGAAAACACACAACTGATGTACTTTACCACCCTTTTTCTCTTCTTTTGACTTCCAGGGAGCCCAGCCCAGCGGGACCTCCCTCTGGAGTGGGAACCCATCTCTGGCCATGCGTACACCAATGGCATTCAGTACCGTGACCGGGGGCTTGTCATCAACGAGACTGGTCTGTACTTTGTGTACTCCAACGTGCTCTTCCGGGGCAGTGTCTGCACCAGCCAGGTGTTAACCCATGTTGTCTACAAGAGAAACCCTTCCTCACCAGGCAGCCATGTGCTGATGGAGGACAAAGGCATCAACTACTGCACGGGTCAGACAACGTGGGCCCGGAAAAGCTACCTGGGGGCTCTATTCAAGCTCAGGAAGATGGATAGTTTGCATGTCAATGTCTCCAAAATCGCTCTGGTTAATTTTGAGGAATCCAAGACTTTTTTTGGCTTGTTTAAGTTTTGAAATAGGGCTGTTGGAATGTGGTCAGCAGCCCCTGCACACACACTAGGACATGTGAGGGGTGAGTGCTGCTTGAGCAGCAGTGGCCAAGCAAAGGTCTCGCACCGCAAAACCCATCGAGAAACCATCATTTGGCCTTCAGCATGACAGGGCTCAAGCAACTGGAAAAGGCTTGAAAGCAAACATCTGGGAAGTACCAGAGCTGTAACTGCATCAGCCTGAAGAGAATTGCACATATTCTCTTTACCAAAACCCCGCAACAAACTCCAAATGTAGTGTGCTGAACACCCCATTGAACCTCACTACTTGTCAGCTGAGAAGATGCTGGGCCTGCAGCCCCACATGGAGTCATGGCCTGGTGAGCTTGAGCTGGCAGTGACAACTGGCAGCTGTTGAGGAGATCCCTTGAGCCAGGACTGCAGGTGCCTTGATTATGCCAGGCCACACTGCAGGCAGTGGTGTGGGAATGAATAGTGGCGAGCAATTGCTCACCCTGAGCTGTGGGTGACCACCCTGCCTGGGCACTCAGCACTGTGACTGCTGCATGACAGGCACCTTTCTGCTAGCTGGGCTGTTACAGGTGATATGTGTATTTTGTGTTAAGTTATCAACCATTCCTATCCCAGAAAATGCTCCCCAAGCCCTTTATTTAACTTATCCCAACTGTCTTTCAAGGAACACGCCAGAAGCAGCAGTGCCAAGAGAGAGGTCCCAACCCTGGAGTGAAATCATGACCACTCTGGTGGTAGGGATGGTGGGGAGGCCACGTGCTCTGTTGGTGGGACCTCAACAACATAGCAGTGCAGGGCAGTGGAGCATGAGATGAAAGCAGCATCTCCAAACTGCCTCCTGCCTTTTCTACACATAAGGGTCCTCCATGGAGAACTGGTCTGCCACCCCCATCATGATGCAGATGGTAACATGCTGATCACCATCAAGGGCATGGCTTTGGCTGGCTGCCTTGTCATGAGATGTTCTCTTCTGAGCAAAACACAGATGGTAAATAAAGGTATATTTTTCTAGTAAGTGGTACTGTCCTCTCCTCATTTGGCACAACAGGCTTCTGCAATGACCAAAGCCTTGAAGGCCTCTGTGATCAGGGGCCAGCACATTGTTCCTTCTCCAGCAGCATGGCAGAAATCTGGGAGTCTCATCCCACTTCACTGCCTACTTGGTAGTGCACAGGATCCCTTCCATGGAGCTTTGGGGCTCTGGCATGAAAACATCAGGATTTGGGGACTGGGGAGGCGTGACATGGGCAGCATGGACCAGGCAGCCCAAGCCCAGCTTGTCCATCAGGAAAGGACTGATCTCAAAGCACAAGCTTGAGCTTGAGTGGAGCCAGACACTTGTTGCTGAGCAGAAGTGCTGCTGTCCCCAAAGGCACTGTGTATGTGACCTTTGGCTCCAGAAGCACTCCTCACAGGGCAGTCTGAAGGGTAAGGAAAGGAAGTGGTATAAAACAAACCCCTATTTGCTCACTCTGGTGTCTGGTTCATGGAGTTCTAACCCTGAGGCTGCTATCATGTTGCTACCAGGTGGGACGCAAAGGCTGTAGTGCATCACCATCATGTTTGCCTATGGTCCTGTCTCTTGCAGCTCTGATGTTGGTCTTAGTGAACGTGGCTCTTCAGCAGCCTGCAGCATTTATTTCCTTTTCCATTGTGCTGCTCTTGTCTCGGTGGTATGTGGCCTGTGGTTTGCTGTTGCTTGCTTCAGGGAAGCCTATTTCTTCGAAATTTATCAGGGGTCTGGCTACTGATGGGGCCAGTGTGAAGCAAACACTGCAGCTCTCTGCTCACACAGATGTTGCAGCGCTCAGATATTTCCACTGCATTTCTCAGGATGGAAAATACCTCAAAAGGATGAAGTTTAGGGACCTTTTGGCTTGACTGACTTTTCTCACCACCTCCACAACTTCTAGGATCAGAGGCGAAAACCATATCACAAGGATGGAGGTACTGGATCCAAACCCTGCCAGGAAAGGCTGGAAGTTGCTATCTTCTGCTTGCTGTTTGTGCTGTATTGCTCTGCTAGTGATGGAAGATCCATCTGGAGAGTGGGAATCTGTATGTACGTGTGCCTGCAAGCTTGCAGCTGTTTCTGTAGCAAAACTAGGCAAGCACATCGCACCCTTCTTTAGTGATGAGCAGCCTGGAGAGAGGCAGGGCATTCAGTACCCAGAGGAAACTCGTGCTGAGGTTATGCCCTCTGCTAGTACTGTAGTGGAAGAGTTGGAAAGCTCCAGAAGGCTTCTCTAAGTCAGCACACAGTAACTTGTGCAGACTGTGACTGCAGCTGGCTCTGGAGCAGGAGGCAGCAGTTGCTATTGCTGCATGTTGGGAGGGGACAAGGATCTGTTTGTCTTTTTAGCTGAAATGCTAAAGGCAATGCAGACCTGCAGGTTTCACTCTGCACTCCGGGGCAGACAGTCTTGTTATAAATAGTGCTGGGATCTCCTGAGGTGGACAGAGCTGGCTTATCCTTGCAGGATAAAGCTGGATGCTGCTATGCTTGTTCCTGAGACAGAGAGTGGCTGCGACTGGAGTCAGCGGCACAGACATGTGTTTCTGCTTTGTGATCCCTGCTTCAAATATCCCTCTAAACTGCCCAGAGCAAATCCACTGCTTAGCTTGTGGGCTCTGACTAAAGATTCCAAGGAAGGTCATGATAGGATTATACAATTTCAGATCGCATCAAGTCAATTCAGAGGCTGCTTGTGCCACAACTGCTTTATTAAAGTCGTCTGTTTATCTAGCTAATGAGCTGTTCGTTTAGTGAAATATTTGCTTATTGCTACCATTAAATACTTGCTGAATATTTAATGCTGACATTAGTCTCTCTCAGGCTGAGAGAGCTGGGGCTGTCCAGCCTGGAGAAGAGCAGGCATCGGGGAGACCTTCCCTTCCAGTACCTAAAGCAGCTCCCAGAGAGCTGGAGAGGGACTTACAACAAGGGCATGGAGTAATAGGACAAGAGAGAATGGCTTCAAACTGAAAGTGGGCAGGGTTAGATTAGCTGTTAGGAAGGAACTTTTGACTGTGAGGGTGGTGAGGCACTGTCACAGGGTGTTCAGAGACATTGTGGTTGCCTGACCCCTGGAAGTGTTCAAGGTATTTTGTTGCCTCCCCAGCAAGGGAAGGGTGACTGTACTAGAAAGGATATCCCAGGTCCATCAGCAGTGATGTTTGGGGTTTCTCTGTCCTGCAAGTCATGTTTCTGCATTGCGGTGGTCTGAGCTGACATCCTCTTTCCTGATGGAGCAGCCCAAGTCACATGAGGAGGTGTCTTAGGGTTTCAGAGCTGTGTATCAGGGCTCCAGAGATATCCTTCTCTGCAGAGAACATGGCTGACAAGAAGTGACAAGCCCAGATCACCTCCTGATAAGAGGTTTCTTGTCTGTTCCAGCTGCCTGATGTCTTCTGAGCTTCATGTCCTTTCTTCCTAGACACAGTTGTGCTGTCCTACTTGAAGCTGGCTGAAGGACTTGGCCAGCACAGAGCCAGCAGCCACGCTGCAAGCACACAGAAAGCTCTTCTGGGCAGCTGAACCCTTCCCAGGAGATGCCTGTGCATTTGGATGTGCTGTTGGCCAAATCAGGGCTCTGCACGGCAAATACTTGTGCTGCTATGTGGCCAAGCACAGTGAGCTGCTTGATAGAGATATGCTTCTCTTTGTGGTTGATGTGTATCAGATACTGCACTCTATTTGCCTGCCTTGGTGGAGGAAAGGGGAGAGCAGGATGCCAGCGTCTTGAAAACCTTGTGTAGGCTCAGTATGTACAGGGGGCAGAAGGGACTACATTATAGAAAGGACTGTATGGATAGGGTCGTTGTTGCTTTGACAGCAACAGTGCAGTGGAAGCAAAGGAAACCTAACCTCAGTTAGAGAGGGAGAAATATCCCCTGGACAGCTGTAGACAGCATCCCAGTCCATGGGGAGGAAGGTGGCTGGTGCACAGCAAAGGTAAAGCAAAAGCAGAAGGAGCAGTTGCTGATCTCCAGCATGGGAATCAGGGTGTCAGAGACAGGACAGGGAGCCACAACGTGGACTGACTCTTTGCAGGCTTTGTCAGACACACATCTTGGCTCAGAAACCTCACACCTTAGGTAGTTGGCTGGAACTGTCACTGGTGAGAGGTGTTATATGTGACTGTTTTTGTAGCCCTCCCAGGGACTAGAGAGAAGATGAGTAAGAATGGAAGAATTGATATGTCTAAAGCTACTCAAATCCTGTGAGTTCAGACAGCAACTTTGTTTGATCTGATAAGTTTTATTTGTGCTTTGGTTGCTTTTTTGGAGGTTGATTACTGTTATCTGTTCTTTTTACAACTTTCCTTCACCTGAAGCCAGCCCTGGGCTCTCTAAGTTTCTGTCACAATGTCTTGTGGGGTCACTTCTTCCAGCCCAAGGAGCTTTACAGACTGGCAAATTTTTGCCAAGCTGGGAAAGAGCATTGCCTAGTGGTTAGAGAAGGGAGGAAAAGGGAAGGGAGGTAGATTAAAATATTGCTGTTATCCTCCTCGTGCTCTGACATGTGGGTACATTACATCATGGTTACAAAGGTGTAATTTTAGGCATGACTAAGTGACTGAGGTTCAATGCAAAAGAGAGGATGAGATAAGAAAAGAAAGAGGAGGAGCTTTTCTGCAAGGTGAGATAAGTTGTATGTGAATTTTTAATGGATTTTCATTATTTCAACATGGAAAAGAAGAAAGGCTTGACAGCTTGTTGCTGATTCATCTCTTGGGGTAATGTGGAGAGTCAAATGTTCCATTCCCCCCACATGACCAAAGCCCTGTCACAGGAGATGTTGGTCTGCAGCCTGTGGTGCAGGAGATGGCTGGTAGTGTCTGTGGTGGTGTCTTCTGCCAGGCAGAGCTGTGAAAAGATGCTGAGTTCCCCAGCCCCCACCTGTGGTGAGACCAGCAACGCTGCTTTAGCATCCTGCTGGT